TTCCTTGTGCTAAGCATTTGGTTTGTGTTAATGTTTACCACTGCTACAAATCTTTCTCTTATGGCCTACAAACCAGTGCACAGTCATAGAATCATAGAATCATAGAATCATAGCAAATCTTTCTCTTACGGCCTACAAACCAGTGCACAGTCGTAAGTGTAGAGCCTGAGAAGAGGGGCTGAAAGGGCCCAAAATGTTACATCCCTGCTAGTGAATGAAATGGTGCCGAAGTCTGTTCTTGGTGGCCAGACCAGATAGCATCATCTGTTCACATCTATTCTATAAAGCTCTCTTAACCTTTAAAAGAAGGTGACTTCTTCTAAACGGGCCATGGGAGTAGTCTCCAGTCCCTCTTATCTCAGCTGTGCCTGGGAATTGTTGGGAGAGTGCTTATTGCACAAGCGTGCCTAAGATGTACCAGAAGCAGATTTTTGTAATTTAGATAGATTCAGTATAGATGACCAAATTGTAATGGTTGGGTCTGTGATTTGATGTGGTTTGGTTTACTGCTTTGGACACAGGCATAGTGACAGTCTCTGTCCCAAAGATTACAATTGCCTGTTCCTAAACCGGTCCAAACAGATGTTTATCCTGCTTTTCAAAATTTTCTGTACTGGAGATCTCATATCTTCCAGAGGAGGTGTGTTCCAGATTTTAATTACCCTTACAGCATGCTACCTAAATTATGGGTTTTTTTTCTTCAAAAACTGTTTGTCTTTAGAGTATGTTGAATAGCACTTGTATCCCGAAGTAATTTGGACATGTGTGGATATCGAACCGGTTACTCATTGTGTTGTGGTACGTGGGGAGACACTGGGCCTTGCAAAAGGAAAGGAGCCCTTTAGTTCCTCTATCTTTCAGTATTTTGTTTTATAAAATACGGTAGAGAAAGATGAAATGGTGTGGGGAAGAGGTGGGTTATAAAAACCAGGCCACAAAGGGTGCAGTTACCAGCTTTTCCAGTGGAATTGGGACATAGTCTGGTGTACCTGTATGAAAGGTGGATTATCTAGATGACAGCACATTTGATCTTGCTGTGGGTTGGACTTTAAAGAATTAACTTTGTTAGGTCAGTCTTTCTTAAGTTAATAAATCAGTTAAGTAATAAGGTAACACCTAGCTATTTATTTTTCACTTATTTTTCCACAAGATGATCAATTCTGAAAAATGACTGCTGTCTTTAGCAATCCATAGAGTTGGAAACTTTCTGAGCCTCCTGGCGGGTGATGCTAGTTAAATTGACATTAAAAATGATACTAGAAAATGCTTTTAATTTCTTAATAGATGCATAATGTAGGGCTGTGGAGTATCTCCTGGCAAAGAACAAAACTCAAGCCATTTGGAAATCTTGACAGAAGCAGTACAGACTGTTCTCACTTGCTGTAAGCTTAGATCAAAAGGATTCTCAATTTTCCCATCAGCACAACATTTCTATACTATGTCCAGTAGAATGGTATGAGAAGTTTTACTAAATTCAGTGTAATTAACAGGCAGGCACTGGGGGTTTAACCCATGACGTAAACTCATGTTTACTGCTGAAATTGCTGCTGTCTGCTTAGTAAGTGAAAGACTTCTTGGAGTGGCCAGGGTAAAATGTTGCTCCAAAACCACATGCAGTCTCTCTGGGGTTTGAGGAATGTTGGTTTCCTGGAGTACTGACATAGTATGGACTGACTTGAGGTTCAGAGTATAAACTTATAAACCTCTGACTCCAAACATCTCAGCTTTGCTTGGCACGTATAAAAGTTAGGATAAAGGGCCTATATCCATCAGAGTCCAATTTCTGAACTCTTCCCCATTTTAACTACAGCATCTTTTGTTCCTTACATTGGAAATATAAAACCATTTTTATCTGGTTTCCTGAGGAAGTGGGGTTTATGTGATTAGTCTGCCAGCCTGTCTTTCAATTCTGCAGTGATTTTGTTGCACAGGCCAGGTTCAGCTCAGCTTGAAAGGAATGTCCATCACTAGCTGACAGTTTGAATGTGGCACTTGCTTTTTAAAGTATAAGAGATTTTCACTGTATAGAAGCAAGCTGTGCTGTGCCAGTTGGCCTCAGAGCTTGAGGATGGTGTCCAACTTTTTTAATTCACGAGTATAAAAATAATCTCTGTGTCCTAAGACAGGGCAGGCACTGCGGCTAGGATTTATTGTGAACAAGAACAGTTGCAAAATTCTCTGTTTAGGAGTTTGAGACCTGCTGTTGTAACTTGTTAAGAGGATGTGTGAGTCCTCATATGTGAATAGTTTGCCCATAACTCTCCCGAGCAGTGGGGTGTATGTGCTGTCCCAGCAACTCCTTCCCCATCACGGAAGTCATGGCTGCCTTGCACCTAGAAATTTTGTTGCTTAAGCAGACCAAGCATTAACTGGGGTGAATTACACCATGTAATTTTGAGTCTAATTGTAACCATCTTTACGTTTAATCTTAGCTCAGGAAGAAATGTGTTTCTTATTTGGGCTTTAGGTTAGAAAAACCCCAATAGAAACTGAAGTATTTTCCAAAGCAAAGGGATAATTTTAAAAGTTTGCCTACATCTGTCACCCTGGAGGCTCACTTATAAACTTAGGTCTGTGCCTGTGTGCCAGTTTTTTAAAGAGTTCAGGTGAAGATAATGAGGGGGCTAAGAGCTCATGGCTTCAAAGGAGGGGCTGGGAGAGTTAGTTTTGGTCAGTCTTCAGGGTATTCAGTTACCTGCTGGGGCATATGGGGGAAACAGCACCAGAATCTGAGAGGTGCACAGTGATAGGACAAGAGGCAATGGGCACAAGTTGCAACAAGGGAAACTGATATTTAGAAGAAAATTTTGCTGTGAGGACAGTCAGACATGGGAACAGGAGCCCAGGGAGGCTAAGAATGATCTGGTAGTATGATATCTTGAACCCTGAAGACAGTGAGAACTCAATGGGACCAAGGTTGTGGGCAGCCTGGGCCAAGCTGGCCCTCCTTTGGACAGACTTTTGGACCAGGTGACCTCTAGAGGTCTGTTCCAACCTGTTCTGTGACCCAGCATAGGGTGCGGCATGAGTTTACAGTGCTGTTCCCTATGAAATGGTTTACTGATAGATTTGCATTCAGGAAGGCATGTTTCTAATGTATAATAGGAACCCAAAAGTGCTAATACCAGTTGAATGCTGGAGAACTGAATAAAATTGCTCTTTCTGTCATGAAGTTTTCATGTGTTCGCTCTGCAGTAGGTGGCATTTTCTAGATGACTGAATTAAGGTCTGTGCAGAAATGCTTCTCTAAACAGTATTTAGGGATTGTTCTTTCATTAGTTAACAACCTGTATACTAAATAGTTGAAAACGCCTGTTTGGTTTCCAAAATTAGTGCCTAGTTTTAATCTTAATATTTTTGTGATTCAGCTCCCCAGTTGTTAGATGGGGAGAGCATCATCGCTTTTCAGGGGCAATCATAAAACCCAAAAGAACATAAATAATGCTTCCTTCAGAGCATGGTCAGTGTCCTGATGCCCATGTATTGCCATAGAAACAAAGAAGAAAGCAAAGCTTCAGTCCATCCTATGTGAAGGGACTTTTGGGTGATTCATTGATTAATTAGAACAGCTTTTCATGAAGAGACCAGCCTTAATTATAGCATTTCCTAACTTTCCCTTTTTTTTTTTTTACTGTAATCATTTCATTGTATTATTTTAATAGCTTTTTGTCTCTAAGTATATATCACAGTTAAAAAATTGGAGATATTTTTACAGCATTTCACACTTGCATCTTTTTGTTGTTTATGAAAGAACACAGCTGAAAGAGAGTCTCTATTGTAGCCGATGATGCTGGTTAACACATGCCCCGCAGCTCAGTGCAGTGACTGTCTCGGACTCTGAGCTCAGTTCTGTTCTCATCTCTATCAGTGGGAGCTTTGCTGTTGCCTACCCTGCAAGCGCCTCTCTTACTGTTGTACTGTTACTTACCTGTCACTGTCAGGTGATGTAGTCTAGCCTAGCAAAAAACTTATATGCAAGGCGTGTGCTTTATAGTGAGTGCACAAAGACTTTCCTGAAAGCAGTATCTTAGAATGTGTAAGGGGTGTTGGAAAAATAATGAAAACAATAAACGTTGGAAGTCATTAAAATTTCTACTGTTCAGGAAAGGATCTGCTTAAATTCATTCATACTTTGAGAGCCCTTAAAAGACTTTTTGAATTTTTGAGTATGTCTTAAGTATGCATGCTGTCCTGTCTAGGGGACTAAGTGTATTAATGGAGCATAAACAGAATGTGCATTAACAGAGTAGAAGCAGGAAACTAAATGCTAAGTACTAAATAAACCCAGGAGCAGAGGAAATAAAGCCAAACCCTTCAACCATCAACACATGCCTCATTTTTAATAAACCTGCTGGTACTAAAAGGCTGTTTTAAAACAAGAATGGTAAAGCTGCATTAGGAAGCACTCTAAAGTTCAGACGCTCTGGACTGAAGGTTGCTTGTCAAACCTTAATGCATATCTATTGTGCATATGCATTATAGTAATCTTTTAACAGGAGGAATCCCTGTAAAGTGGGAAAAATAGTATTTGACTTCAGCGTAGTGGAAAATCGGATCTGCTTAAAACCATTCACTTGCTCTGCCCTTAAAAGCCTGTAGAAATACATGAGAAAAGGATATTTGGTGTTGAGGGCACAATAAATGATAGGAGGAGATGTTTTTTTGGAAGTAATGCTTTTCTCTTCAGAGATAATTGGAGACATTTATGAGCTGCAGAGTCTAAAAGCCTGACAGTGGTTTTGAATGCAACTGATTTTATGAACTTTTGAAAGTTGTAACAGTTCTCTGACTTACAAGGTCTCTTTTGCTTTTGTCTTTTAATAGCTCTCTACAATCACGTCAGCTGTAAATAAATTAGGTGCGTAATCCTGATTCTATGTGAAGTTGTTAATCTGTGAAATAGGAGAATACCCCACTGCTGGAATCCCGGTCTCTCAAATGCCTCTGAAATATAAAGCAGGGATCAAAATCTTATTTGTTCTTTCTTTGCCTTTCAGGTCCAAACCATGAATTACGTCGGACAGTTAGCAGGGCAAGTGTTTGTAACTGTGAAAGAGCTCTATAAGGGACTAAACCCAGCCACGTTGTCAGGATGTATAGATATAATTGTTGTACGTCAGCCAGATGGAAATCTTCAGTGTTCTCCTTTCCATGTACGGTTTGGGAAAATGGGAGTCCTACGTTCTAGGGAGAAAGTGGTAAGAAAATTGACAATTTTGATATGTTCTGTCTGTGGGGTAATTGTAAAGGCATGAAAGTTACTGCATGTTCTGTGGTATGCTAGTCAAGGTTTTCTTTAGATACTCTTTACAAAGTGCCCAAATTGAGATTCAGTGAAAATCGTTGTTACTGATTCTTGCGTTTCAAAGCATAATTTGTAAGACATTGACTATAATAAAAACAAAACTATGACATTTGTAACATTTATTTTCAACAGCGCAAAATTTTGAATTTTGGGCTGATTTGGGCTTATACAAAATTTCATTAGTGACTGTGTATTAAGCCCCTTTGTTTAACTTGTTTATTGATAGTTACAAAAAAAGTAGTGCTATCATGAAGTAGTATTTTCAGATAACAGAACGTTGAAGTCAATTGAGGCTAGAAAAAGCAGTGAGGACCTTTAGATAAATGTAACCACGCTGAATGACCTGGCAGTATGATATCAGATGCAAAGTTGCCAAGGAGTAATGCACGACAGATGATCTTAGGAGATAGTTTGTAACTACATATAGTCTAGGTTCTAACGTAGCTGTAATTGTTCAGCAGAAAGATCCTAATGTCACCATGGACATTACATGAATTGGAAAAGAATACCAATATTTAGGATATGTAAAAGTTGGCAATGTTACAGGAAACTGTGTCCTGAAATACAACATCAAGGTAGGCTTGTCCAAGTCTCCCAAAAAAACCCACAAATGAAAATGGAGTTGGTTGCAAGAATGGTTGTAGGCAAAGAGAAAGATCCTCCTGAGAAGAAATGGAAATAGGTGGGGCTATATAGTGGTGAGATAAATGTGTGGAAGAAATAGACACTTTTTCTTATTTATGCTTCTCATAGTTTAAAGAGAAGTCTTGTTTAATGAGTTTGAAAGACAGTATATTAAGATTTGTGTGTGGAAGTACTTCTTGCACAATACAAAAATAGGCTATGAATTAAAAGAGCAAAAAAGATTTGTGTAGCGAGTGAAGCATTCAGAATTGCATTTCAAAAGATTCAGGACTTCATGTAATGGTTATAAACCTTCTTGAGTAGAGGAGCGAGACAGCAATGAGCTGAACGAGTTAGAAAAACGTTCTGATGATTTGTGAATCAGCCTTGTGAAGGGCTGGGGAGACCATTTGTAGTTTATTATAAGGTTTCCTATGCTTCCCTGAGAAGCATTTTCCCCACTGACAGTGGTAGGATAGCTGAACAGGAACTGTGTACCTGAAATAACTTTCTTTTCATTTGAGAATGTATTTATTTTCTTCCAGGTTGACATAGAAATTAATGGAGAGGCTGTAGATTTGCACATGAAACTAGGAGACAATGGAGAGGCTTTTTTTGTGCAGGAGATGGATAACGATCAGGTAAGAGTCAAAATTAATTTTCATTTGTTAAATATTCAATGTCTGCTCTTCAGAGTCAGTTTTGACTTTAGGAATTTTGTTGAAAAACATACCTTTCCCCACTTGATAGTTTTGAAAGTTTCTGGACAATTTTCTGCTATGGAAATTTATTACTATACAGTTACTTCATTTTTTAAGTTGCTGAGATTGAAAAAAATCTAAAGAAGGTAATCACATAACTAAAATAATAAATCTGAGCTTATGTGCACACCAGTGTGTGAACAGAAATAACATGTACGCAGTCACATGCTCCAAAGATGTGTATAACAGAGGTTAATATGTCCATGGATTTTTTTTTTTGTAGAAATCTTTACTTTGAACATATGCACTCAGCAGCCTGCCAGTAAAAGTGCACATGCCCTGTAAACATCTGTGCAGACAGTAATTCTGGTACTCACCAAAGACGTGATCTTGCAACTATTGTTCATGTGGAATTACATTTAAATGAGAATGCCTGCTGTTGAGCTGTGTGACTGTGTATGGTCACACTAGTTTTGAATAGTCCATATGTAATGTAACAGAAGAAAAGCTTTTACAGGCACTTCTCTTCAGGTATCCCCAATAATATTTGTCATTGTCCAGACTGGTATGAGTTTTCAAATTCTTATATTGAGTACCATACAACTAGTTTCAGGTGAGAGCTATGTCCATGTGCAGTATTCATCTCTGTATCTTCATATCTAAATCTTCTGACTTAACAACTTCTATGTGGTAACAGTTACTTGGTGACTGAAAATTGCTAGAAATACTTCAGTGAATGTCTGGAGTTGTGTATATATGAGACTGAAGAAGAGGATGTTTGTATGACCTAGTTATAAACCACTGACCTATTTGACTACTGCCATCTGAGCTGTGAAGGAGAATTAGATTTCACAAAATGTTCAGATTATAAACTAGTATTTTTGTTTCTGTTCTCTATCTAGCATCATTTGGATGGACACTCATGCCATAACCTGGCCGATGCTCAGAGGATCCTCTTTATTAAGAGTATTGCTCCTGGCAATCCAGGAGATGCAGCTATGGAACAATATCCATATGTTATAGAATTATACTGAGCACCCAGATGTCTGATCTTTGTTAGTTTTCTGGGGAATAAATGACTTAGATTTTGACAACTGTGCACAGGTTTTAGAACCAGATTTATGACTGACAGAGGAACTAATATGTTGCATGGTTTGCATTTCTTTCTTTCTCAGGAGGTAATTCCTTATCATCTCTCCACATCTCCCATTCTGTCTGAGGGAACTGCTTTAATGGAAGCTCAGCTGAAGAGGAACTCCATAGACAGGATAAGAAACCTGGACACCAGTGCATCCTCGCAAGTACCACCCCAAGCCCATGGATCCCAGCCTTCTACTGAAACATCTCCAGTCTGTAGCTCTGTGAAAAAAAGGAGGAAAAAGAGGAGAAAGTCTACCCATAAAATAGACAGCTTAAAAAGAGAAGACAATGGAGACACGTCAGAAGATGAAGACATGTTTCCTATAGAGATTAGCTCAGAGGAAGAAAAAGAACCATTGGACAATTCAAGGTATCACAGTGGAATTGAGATATATAATGGAAACCTAATGCTGGGTTAATGTTCCATTCCATACCTCCTATCAGTAATTTCTATCTAAGTCAGTACATATGGTTGATGGTCATGTTTCTTTAAGAAAAGCCTTCAGGCTAGAAAGCTATTGAGAATATTACTAACAAAAATAATGAACATGACATTGAAAACATAAGAACAATCCTCCATCATGCTGTGAACTAGAAGGTGTGAATCAGATAACATTTCTCTATCTCTTTTTAGTTCAGGTTATACTAATTCTTCTCTATGATTTTTTTTTTTCTTTTTGGTTCTCTGGAGTATGAAAAAAAAGTCTTTCCCTATACTTAGGATCCCTGTTCCAGATGTGTTTGTTGATGAAGTATCTGACATAAATGCTCCTGCAGTTTCTACATTTTCTCAGTCTGCATCTTACCCCCATTCAGATGGAGAATGGTCACCTCTTCACAGGTACTTTTTATGATAGTACAGTTCTAAATAACCTTCTTTTAATTTTTTTATATGCTAGTGCTATATGAAGTCTTACTAAAAACTTTAGTATCAAACATGGTCACTATCAGGTACTAGGTGAATGCTTTCTATATTTGAAAGTAGATAGTGTACAAGACCTTCAGGTTAGCTTCACCAGTCTGGTGATAGCATGTGTCAATACCCTGCCCCTTCAGTGACTTTTTGAACTGTATGTTCTGTTTGTGTCTTGGTTTTAATATTCTGGATTTTGAAGATTCTAGATGTAAATTCAGCATTCATGTAGCTAATGCACAAAGAGCTTATGTTAATCAGCACTTGTGAATAATGACACCCTGTTTTTCTTTCTACCAACATGCTGTGCTATCCAGTAAGCCTATAGATTGCATAGGGCAATCCTCTCTTCTCACTGTTCCGGCAGACGGAGGCCTATCTAACTCTTGTCCTCAACAGTCTTCTCACTTTCCTTCTCCAGACAGGTAGAACAGTTGTCCTCCCTCTTTTCTGGTATGCTCTTTAATCCTTTTAACACATGCATAGACTTTTTAACACATTAATAGTATGTGAACTTTCTTGAACTTAAAACTGCACTTGCTGCTAACCCAGACACTTCAAAAGAAAGTGATGCTGAAAACCACTTCCTCTGCTTACTACTTTGTGGACATTGACTGGAGGTAAGTTGCCTTGATGAATCATCTGTTGAATGAGGGTAGCTAGTATAAAATCAGGCCAATGAAAACCTGGGGTAAAACTGAAGTTGATTAGGGTGATAACAAAAAAAAGAAAGAACTTAGCCAGTGAAAACTTACATTCCTCTGAAGACTGACATTTCCATGTGGCTTTTTACAGTCAGTGTATATGTTAATGACATTTTTATCCCATGGTTTTCCTGAGTTGGTTGTTTGTGTATAAGTTGCAAAGTAAAAGCAAAACAAAGGCCTCAGAGATTGAGCAATAAGGAGTACAGAACTTGTAATGGGAAAAGCCCAGTACTGAAAGAGAACTTCTTTTCCCTTGTTCCCTGATTTGGGAGGGGGGAGGACTTTCTGTATGTTGGAGTGCAGCAAGGGAGCATCTTAGAGAGTAAAGACAACACAATAGATAAGGCATCTTGCCTAAGCTTTAGGAGACCCAGACTTAAGCCTTTGCTGTAGGATTTCTCTTGACTGTAGAATATTTTCTACAGAGCTGACAGTGGGCACGGACACTTCTTGTGATGTCTTAAATTCAAAATGTCTCAAGATTCTGCAGCCAGGATCTTTCTCTTCATTAAGTCAGTGGAGAAATGTCACAGCAACTTAGTTAAAAAATTTAAAGTAGGTGTCTGAATATGACCTCTACAATTTTCTATTAATGCTGGGGAATCTTTGAGTAATAAATCAGGTGAAATTGCTCATTGCCTGTCTCAACATAGATGCCATACTAGGTGCCTAAGGCTGTATTGAAACTGATAATCTTGAGGTTTTCCCAGCTTCTAGGTCTGCCCTCTTTAATGTGACCGTGTTGCAGCACCAAGGCAAGGTGAGATCCTGGGACGTTCAAAGCTGTTATCAGTGCTTTTCATGGGAAGGAAGGGCAGGTGCGCAGGTTGGGATGGAGCAGTGATGTGCTCTGGGATGCTCCATCAACTTTGCTCTGGAGTTCACCTGTCCTGCAGTCTAGATACACAGCTAAAGTGCTATAGTCTGAGTAAGGGCCTCTCTGTGTCTGCGACTGCTTTCTTCTGTGTGAAATAAGAAACTCTGCTATGGCCACCTCAAAGAAGGTTCAGAGGCTCTCAGCTATTGTTGTGACATGTACATGAGGTAGGCCTCTCTCCTTCTGGCTATCTTTTCCCAGTTTTTGGCCTCAGTCAGGGCAGGACTTTTTCTCAGGTCACACTGCTGCTTTCTCAGGGCTGTCTTTGCTTTCAGTGGGAAACACTGTGAAGATCAGTGTGGTTTGCTGTTGCAGAACTGCCAACTACAGGTCAAGTTCCTTATTCTTTGACATTGGATTACAGTAAATGCAGTTATAGCTGTTAGCCAATGCGTAAGTCTGTGACACAAACATTCAGCATTTATCGGATGCTAATCGGATATGCTGATCTAGATGACTGAACTGAGGTTCCCCTTCCTTCTTGTGCAGTGTTGACAGGATGAGTGGCTCTAGCTTGATCTGCAATATCTGCAGCAATCTATGTAAGGCAAGTGAATTTCAGCTGGGCTGGGTCAGTGGTGAATTTAAGGACAGGGGAATTGCAAGGCACAGTTCAGCCCAAGACAAATGTTTTGGTGATGTAAGGAATAAAGAACTCATTTTGAGTCTAATCAATGGATGTCTTTGCAGGATACTATCTCTGGGTTACAAATCCTACACAGTCTTGGTATTCAACCTTATTGATCCCTAGTGCAAGTATAACATAAATTCAGCATTTAATTTGACCTAACTGAGCTAAAAAAAAATTAAAGCAATATGATTATGAGTTTCATTAGTCTTCAGTCTCATTTTACTTTGGTAGCAATAGTATGAAGTGAACAGCAGAAAAAATAGGTCCAGTGCGGGTAAAGGAGACGACATCTGGCATTACATATGGAAGCAGAACTATACAAACAGGAAGTATACAAACAGGACTGTAGAAGGCATAACTGCCACTGCATATATAAACTGCAGAGATTATTGTTGCTGTTCCAGAAGGATATTAGTTGGAGAGGGTAGCTATTGAGTGTTAAACAACAATATGGCATATGAAGAAAAAGTAAAGGTATTTCTCTGTAATGGAAAACCAGCTCTCATCTAGAGGCTACCCACCCTGTATTAATATTTGTGGGTGGCATAGAAAATTCCAGCTTATGTTCCAGGTGATACAAGGAATGGGAATGCTTTAGTATTCTTTTATGCAAACAAAATAATTTACCCTCTGTTTGCCTTGTGGATGCATGTTTGCAGTCTGATTTGGTCTTGGGCCTTTTAAATTGAGATGGCATTGCAATGATAATTCTGGTCTAACCTGAGGTTGTATTAGCCTTTGTACACTAATCTATAAGGAGAAATCAACTGAAAAGAATTCTGAAGATGTAACATTTTGTTCCTACTAAATCCTTATATTTTATTGTTCAGAAAAGTAGTATTTATAGAATGAGAATTAAGATGTCGCCATTGTGCTTGTGTCAAAAGTTCAGTAGATATTGTGTATTTTGTGTACTTTGCTTTGGGAAAGTGGGTAGATGCTTGCCATGGTTATACTTGTAGCTATATCTACTCTGAACCAATAACCCAGACGTGTGCATGGATCATTGGGCAGCGTTTTGCAGCAGGAGCTTTCTCAGAGCAGAACTCTGCCTGTTTTAACATACACACATATGCTATATTTCTGGCACTTGCACGTGTGTGTCTGGGAATATACATCATAGTTCTTAGTGCTGAGTAACAGCCTGGGCTTCTTCCCCACTAAGTTGTGTGTACAAGGGAACTGTATTTTCAGGGAAAATTATGGAAAAGGAAAGATTCCTGCCCCAATCAGTGTTGACACTGCAAAAATGCAGAGGTTCTAGCCCAAACTGAAGCAGTGCCTGTATTCTTTCAGGTCGTCTGGCTGGGTAATTGAATCTGGGCTGAACATACGCCACAGCCCTAACTGGAGATTTTTCTAAGTAAACAAGTAGGTATTTTGAAGGTTAAAATGCGTGTAGTGCACAGATTAACTTGTGCGGTGACCTCACTTCCTTAAATCTAGATGTTTTGGGCTTAAAGCAGCAGCAGAAGCATTACTGCCTGCTGAGATTTTCTGAAGTGCCCAGGCACCTGATTTCCAAGGTTTTAATGGACCCTAGCTGCATGGAAAATACTGCAAATCCTACAAACTTGTCAGTGGGTGATGTAGAAGTTGCTGAAAATCTCACCAAGCATTTCTTGAATCCTTAGAGCTCGAATACTTTTAAAATCACATTGTTCTGATACGTTCATCTGTCAAATGACTACTAAAAATTTGAAGTTCTTAGTACCAAAAAAGATCTTCCACAGTATTGCTTATAAATTTTACAGTTCAGCTAGATAACATAATTATCTGTCGCTAAAAAGTCATAGCATTTGTACATATTCAAAGTATGTCTTACCGCAACATAGATGAAAACAAGCAATAATGTAGATAACTAGGTTGTTATCTTTTCAGATGTGAAATTCACAGATTTTTTTAAAAGCTGCTTTGTGTTATTATGAAGTAATTATTTGCCTGTGAACAATGAATTCACTATCAGCTAGCTCTACGAAACTACCTTGCATTGAAAGAGCAAAACTGTTTTGGTTATTCAGTTCATCCAGAAGAAGGTAAAGAATAAATCAAACGTGAAGAATTTGTACTAAACCTAGGAAGCCTTTTGGTTTTTTTGAGGGTGAAGGTAACTCAGTTTGGACCTTTGATGTAGGAAAGTTGTGGATTATTTTGATGCTTGTAGTTTTTGAATCAGTATACCAAAGACATGCTTTGGGTCAGGCAAAAAAAAAAAAGGGCTTTGTTCAAGGGGTTTTGGGTGCAATTCTATGACTTGCATTATGCAGAAAGGCAGAGCAGATAATCAGATTTTTTCCTTTTGTCCTTGAAATCACTGAATCATTATTTATTAATGGCTGACGTCACATCACATTATTGACTTCACCATGTTAAAAAATGGTACAAACTGTAATTTACTAATTAATAATTAAATATTTTATATTGAGTAGTCAGCAAAACAAACAATTATTTTTGCACTGGAAGGGCTTAAATTCTTTGTGTAGCTCTCCTGGTTTTCCTATAAACCTGCATCCAAGGATAGACTTTATTAGTCTATTTAGTAGAAGGAAGTAATCAACTGGATTCCTTAGACTAATTTATTACTTAGGATAAAGTGTCGTGTTGATATGAGTGAGTCACTTTCTGCGCTTCACGTCCATTATAACAATACTAACATCTCTTTGTCCACCACTGCTGGCACCATCCCTGTTCTTTTTTTCCCCCACAGAACCCCCAAAATCCTTCTGAAATGGTCAGTGCTTTTGTTCCATCTCTTTCAGCTTCTCAAATACTGCATCTGTGATGGCACTTACTGAAAAATGGATGAGACGTCTGAATGCCAGTCTAAGAGGATCCCAAACTGCTTAAACTGTTTTTCCATGCTTTCACACTTTCAATTGGCTGATAATTACTTAAGATTTTTCAATGCTTTGGGTTGATGGATATAAGTTTGGAAAGTGTGTAGTGCATTGTGGTTACTTTTGGTTTTGTAATATTTTTATAATAAGTAGTGTTTCTGTTTGTTTGTTTTTCTTCAGCCCATCAGGTTCACGCCCTCCTACGCCTAAAAGTGACTCAGAATTAGTCAGTAAACCTATGGACAGAAGTGGACTGAAGAATAATCCCCACATGCACTGGGCCTGGGGAGAACTACCCCAGGCTGCAAAGGTATCCATTGTAATTTGTTTAATTCCTGCTAGCATCTATTGTGCTTTAATGGGGCAAATGTGCTTATTTTATTCCA